CCAGACCATGGTTCCCTGAACCCACACCCACTCCTTCCAGGCTGTCAGAAGGATCTTCATGTTTGTAAGCTAAGAAACACAAGACACAGGACCATTCAGTTATCAGAAAATTAGATACAATCCCAAAACACATGATAATGATACTTGGTACTCCCAGGACAGGAGAAGAGGTTCATTAATAGTCTATGGTGCATAACACTTGCTAAAATCTCAAACCCTTGCAAAAACACAGAACAAAAATTGGAAGGAGAGATGATAAAAGATTGAGGGAGATGCTTAACAAAATCCCTTTTTAAATTCATTTCTTCCCTACCTAGATGATGTTGAGCTGATATTAATGGGTAATACTTACTTAAAAGTATATATTCCCTATCTTCTTCCTATAACCTGTCTCTTCAGCATATATTGGATTAGGACAAAATCTCCACCAAATTAGAGTATATATTCTCTATCTTTTTCCATAGCTGGTCTTTTTTGAATAAACTAAATAAGACAAAATCTCCACCAAATAATAAAAATACACAGTAATATTTGCCATACTCCACTTTTTCACTGCTGTAACCAAAAGACCTATAAGAACAATTTTAGAGAGGGAAAATTTTATTTTGGGGCTCACAATTTCAGAGATCTCAGTCCATAGACAGCCAGCTCCATTCCTATGGGTACTGAGGTGAAAGAACAATATGGCAGAAGCATGTGGTGGAGGCAAGCAACTCAGGATATCGCACCAAGAATTAGAGAAAGAATTCACTCTCCAGGGAACAAAATTTATACTCCAAAGGCACACCCACAATGATCTACCTCCTCCAGTCATACCCTACCTGCCTACAGTTACCACCCAGCTAAGCCCTATCAGTAGATTAATGCACTGATTAGGTTCAGGCTCTCATAACCCAATCTGAACTTCCTTGCACTGTCTCACACAGGGGCTTCTGGGGGACATCTCTTATCTAAACCATAATAATATTAAAAATAAGATTACCATATGATCCACTTACGGCTATATACTCCAAAAGAATTAGAAACAGTTCTCGGAGGCTATTTGTGTACCCACATTAATTCACAACAGCCAAACAGTTGAAACACCCAAGTATCCTTACACAGATTAATGGATAAATACAATGTGGAATACACAAAGATTGGAATATTATTCAGGCTGAACAAGAAATGTGACACATGCTACAACATTGATGAACCTTGAAGACATTATACTAAGTGAAAGGAACTAGTAATGAGAGAACAAATCTTGTATGATTCCACTTTTATGAGGCACGCAGAGTAGGCAAGTCATAGACAGTGAAAGGAGGAGGGTAGTTGCCAAAGGCAGGTGAGTGGGTAAAATGGGGAGTACTTGTTTAATGGGTACAGAGTCCCAGTTATGCCAGTTCATTAGGAGTGTCACATTGAAGAGTGGACTGTGGGACACCAGCCTGCTTCTCACACCCTTTTGTTTCCTGTCTTTGAGGTGAGTAGTTTGAATTTGCCATATGCTCCCACCATGATGTCCTGCTCTGTGACAAGCTCACACAAAATTAGTTGACAAGCCAACTAATCATGGACTGGAATCTTCAAAACAGTGAACCAAAAGAAACCTTTTCTCTTTATAAGTTTCTTATTTCTGGTTACAGTAATAGAAACTGTTTAGCACAGGAAATGTGTGCCAAGAAGTTGGGTCTTTGTCATTACTGTATGCCTGGGGATGTAGAGGAGTCTGAAATTTTTTTATTCAGAAAGCCAGAGTGCTATAAGCAGAGGTTAATGGGTGACTCTGGTGAAGGCTCAGAAAACCAGAAGGCTGAGAAGAATGTGGACAGTAAAGATGAAGCTCTAGAGATATTCAATGGAAATGTGGCCTCTATTAAGAATAGTGCTAGGGGGCTGGGGATGTGGCTCAAGTGGTAGCG